TGATATGCTCACTGGAGTGTCCAATATGCCAAATATGTGATAGGTTTGAGATTAAAAATATGTCTATCCCACCCCTCCCCCATTTCCAACTTTGAATGAGTTTACAGAAAATGAGGCCACTGGGTGAAAGAATGATCAACCCCTATGTTCCTTAAGTCACTGTATTTTGGAGTTCTTCTTTTTTTCTTTTACAGCAGCATAGCCTATGTCCTAACTAATACATGACCTTAAGTAATTTTGTGAATTACTTAAGATCATACAGCACATTTAATGGCACCTTTTTGTTATTAAATAGCAGCTATTTTCCTTACAATCACAGATGTTGCAGTATTTCAAAATGAAAGACTACTTCTTTTTGCCTTGACACTTTTTTGGAATTAATGGGATATGATAATATTCTTCTTTACTTGGTAAAGGGAGGACATGACTTACATGTTTTTGATAAGATTTATTGGGAAAACTGTGAATCTAAAAACGTATAGCCATAAGTAGAAAGAAATGTTCTAAATATTTAGAATGTCTCCACAGTTCTCTTTAAGATATAAATATACTAACACATAACACAAATTTTAAAAAATGATATTGAGAGCAAGCCCTATGAATGACATCAGGGTGAAAGCTCACCTTCGGTCTGGTTTGTGACCCAAGAGTTGATCACCTTTCTGGTTTGGTCAGGAGTTTCCGCAAAATTAACAAACTGTGGCTCTGCACCAAAATATTTTTTCATGTCTTCTATATATTTCTGAAAGATATAGGTAAAAATCCCCCTTTGTAATCTTTATCCGAGATTGAGAAAACAAATCTATTCAGATTATTGAAAGAAGTAGGCAGATAGGCAATTGCAAACTCCCAGTCCACCACTCCCTTGCATCTCCCTGCACCTCCAGCTTGGGTCAAGAACTAAGAACCCTCTTTTTCAGTCTTAGCAGGGCTCTCACTGGCCATGCAGAACCCCAGGTGTGGGAAGAGTGCCTGCTGCCTTTGGCTCTGACCTTCCCCGTCCTCGTCCTGGTTCTTATTTTGATTCATGCCCAGGAAACGGAGCTAGAGTTGAAAGAAGAGCTATCTACAAATCCCCAGCAGGAATCCCAATGACCAAGAGGTCTTGAGAATTGTGCATTGTTTCTGTGGTAGAGATGGAACCCAAGTAAGGCTCGTGGGTCCCGCAGCTGCTCGGTGTGGTCTATAAACACCCAAGAACCTTGTGGACGGTCTCTGAGGAAAACTTCATGCTGACAGAAAAATGGACCTCTGAGCATGATCAGAGGATTCCTCAAACATTCCAGAGTGGCTGACCCATTTTAGAGCCTGAAGAAAAAAGGAAAAACGTTAAGTTTCTCCTTCCAGCCCCTGGATGTGCACCCCGTTGTCAGTCACCACATATGGGCTGCCACCAGAGTTGCTGCTTAGGAGGGCACCTGCATTGAGAACTTAATTTATTTTTCAGGATGGCTATGGTACTCCTTCAGTTTGCTAACCTTTTTGGGAAGACTCGTAAGCAGTAAAAAATGGTAAGCTAATTCAGCTGCCAGACAGTGGAACGAAGATTATGGAGTCCAAGTTCTGTGGAATTTAGAATCTGGCAAAAATAAAACTTAAAGATCCACCAGGCTTCATCTCTTCCCCCACTCATAGGTTCTTATCAAGCCCTGGTGGAGAGGTTAAGCACTTGGTTGCTAGTCAAAAGGCTGGAGGTTTCAACCCACGGGCAACTCAGCTGAAGAAACAATAGCTGGAGAAAGACATGACAGTGTGCTTCCATAAAGGTGGTTGTTGTCAGTAGGTGCTGTCAGACTGATGACAGTTCATAGTGACTCTATGTACAGCAGAGTGACTGCCTGGTCCAGTGCCATCCTCACAGTCATTGCCATGTTCGGCCCATTGTTGTAGCTACTGTGTCAATTCTTCCTCTTTTTTGCTGATCCTATTTTATCAAGCATGATGTTTTATCAAGACTCTCCTGATAATACGTCCAAAGAACATGAGATTAAGTCTCACCATCCTCACTTCTAAAGAGCATTCTGGCTGTACATCTTGCCAGACAGATTCCTTCATTCTTCTGACAGTCCACTGTATATTCAATAGTTTTCACCAACACTATAATTCAAAGACATCAATGCTTACAGTCTTGGAAACCCTATGGGGCAGTTCTACTCTATCCTATAAGGTGGCTGTGAGTTAGAATTGACTGCAAGACAATGAGTTTGGTTTAGTTTGGTTTGGTTTTGGGTTTGGGTTCTTATCAGCTTCTCTGAGCACATTTAAGACTTGCAGACATTTTAAAGAATGTTTGGTATCTCTCTGTACCTCCCATTTCCATGTGCCCACCAAGTTCAGGCATCTCTCCCACTTCTCAATCAAGCAATAGTCCATAAGACTATCAGTGATGAAAATATCTTTAAGAGTTCATTTGGCTAGTGTTATGCCTTTAGTAATAAGCTCAAGTCCTGAACCACCAGAATTCACTGGACATAGACAAGGATAGCACTACTTGAATCCCAATACATCTTCATTTGACTTAATTGTTCTCTCTCCTCTAGCTACTTTTCCTTAGTCTTTGCCCACTGAGCTCTTGGGTCCTCTCACTATCTTCTAAGATGTGCCAAAGGATCTGAAGAACAAGCATGAGAAAATAATGCTTGACATTCTCAGGAGCACTTGAGTTTCAATAGATGACAGAGTCTTGTGCTACATGAATGTGATTTCAACCACTGATGAAAGGAAGAAGTAGACTTTCTTTCATGTTAAGAGCCTTTCCTAACGTCTCTAAAGCCACGATGTGAAACCTGTCCACTTCTCTCACCCCAAGATCAGTGTTGCTCATGAGTACACAGTTTCCCACCACACTGCTGTGATCAATGCCTCTCTCCACTTCTCCAGATTGACCCTACTTAGTTACTTTATGGAACCCTGGTTGTGCAGAGGTTAAACACTCAGCTGTTAACCTAAAGGTCGGTGTTTCGAACCCACCAGCTGCTCCATGGGAGAAAGATGTGGCAGTCTGGTTCCCTAAAGACTGTAGCCTTGGAAACCATTAAGGTAGCTCTACTCTGTCCAATAGTATGGCTATGAGTTGGAATTGACCCAATAGAACACAACAACAACAGTTACTCTACAGAGTTCTTGGGTGGTGTGAAGCATTAAGCAGTTGGCTGATAACTGAACAGTTGCAAGTTCAAGTTTACCCAGATGTGTCTTAGAAGACAGATCTGTTTCCAAAAGCCCATAGCCTTGAAAACTCCATGGAACACAGTCCTGCTTGGCACATGGGGCTAGGAGCAACTCATCAGTACTTGGTTTGTTGCGGAGGTTGTTTCTTTACTCTGTATTTTTTGCTCCCTGTTTCCTGTGAAACAAACACCAGTCCAGAGATTTTACAGAGAACATTTCTGCATGTGTTCAAGCACCATTTCTGGAGTTTATCCCTTTATTTCGGACATAAAGATCTGATCACTAGATCTGGTTTGAGACCCATGATTGACTTCTCTTACAGCTAGATGCTTATTGGTTGCTCTAAATGATGTTTACCTGGAAATATTACCACTTTAAGATTGTGCCTGGTATCCTTAGAGAAATGTCATTGTTGTTGTTATGTGCCGTCCAGTTGGACCCGACTCATAGCGACCCCTCCTTGGGTTTCCGAGGCAGTATCACTACGGAAGTAGATTGCCCAACGTTCCTTCCGAAGAGTGGCTGGTGGGTTTGAACCACCAGCCTTCTGTTTATTAGTCAAGTGGCTTTAGTTATTGATTAGTCTCCCATGGCCCTTTATTTCTCTTCAGCTTACAAGAAAGTGCACTTACTTTGTGAAATGAATAAGTTTTCTCTGCATATAACCCATTGGCTGTCTTAAGGATGTAGGCATTGCTGGGCTTGTTGATTTCTGAGATAAGTGTCTGGAAATTGGAGTTTACTTCTTCATTACTCATGCTTAATTCCTTTGAAAGAAAGGGAATTAGTCAAATGAAAATGTTGAATAAGGGCTATACATATCTCAACAACCTATTTAAAAAAATAAATAAATAACTGCAGTAGATATGACTCATAGCTACCCCTCCTTGGGTTTCCGAGGCAGTATCACTACGGAAATAGATTACCCAGTTTTCCTTCTGAGGAGTGGCTGGTGGGTTTGAACCACCAGCCTTCTGGTTAGCAGTCAAATGCCTTAAGCACTAGGCCACCAGAGCGCCCCCAACAACCTATAGATAAGTGAAATGATTTGATGTATTGCAAACAAAGCTGAAAAATAGTTTTAAAGTAGATAAAAAATGTTTTCTTTAATGTTATCAATTTAAAACCATCAACATCATTAGGACACTGTCTTCTTCCTATTTAGTTTGCAAGATAAGCAAGAACACATTTCAAGGTGGGACAATTTTGGGAGGGAAAAAAAAGGAAGAGAAGATAAGGAAGAAGGATATGACTTTGCAAAAAGTGTACATATTTTATGTTCTGAAAGTGCTTCTATAATTTTCACATAGCTTTTCTTAAGAAAATTTCCTCGTTAAAAGTGGGATTAAATAGCCACTAAAATACACATGTTAAAAGTGCTTCTCCTTAATCATTTGATGACTTAGATACTTGGATATTAAAAGATAAAGTATACCATTTTCCTTTTCTTTTCACTTTCAGGACAAGATCTGACATCTTGGTCTTGGTTCAAGTGAAGCACCTATAATTTCAATAAAAAGACAATATATGGGTGCACTTTTCAGTGAAATAATATACACTAAGAAACACAGACAGTCATTTCTGGAGCTAACAAACACAAAATTAAATAACCACAGGGGCTCTGATTTGATTTAAATGGTGTGTTAGCTGACTAAAGTAAATCAAGAGTTGCTTTTAAATAAAGTTTAATTTAAGTTGCTAGCCCCTTTATAAGGAACCCTGGTGGTGAAGTGGTTAAGTGGTCATTCCAAAAGATCAGTGGTTTGAACCTGCCAGGCTTTTCTCAGAAGAGAGATATGACAGTCTGCTCCCGTAAAGATTAGAACTTTGGAAATCCTGTGGGGTAATTCTCCTCCCTTCTACAGAGTCAATGTGAGTCGACTCAACAGAAATTGTGTGGGCAGTACCCTGATTTTTGCACGTCTTATAAGACATGTAAGAAGTCTTAATGACACAATGATTAAAGCATTTGGCTATTAATCAAATCGTTGGTTGTTTGAACCCACCACCCACTCTGTGGGAGAGAGATAGGGCAGTCTGCTTCCATAAAGATTTAAAACTTTGGAAACCCAAGAGACAGTTCTACTCTGTTCCATAGGGTCACTGTGAGTCAGAATTGACTCAATGGCAGTGGGTTTGTTTTTGATTTTTGTAGAACATTTAGGATGATGTGGAAATTCTCTCATTTTCCATGTTTTACTTTTATCTGTAGCTATTTTGAGAAACAGGCTAGGAGTTCAGTTGAGACCACAGTTTAGATGATTTAAACAAAGCCACCATTGCCCTAATTATCTGGAAAATTCAGGATATTAGTTGCTGTTTTTCTGGTGTTTCTGTTCTCAGCTTCTCCCACCACTTGCCAGGTTGCCATGATCTCACCAGCCCAGCATTTTATCTGAAAGTTAACAGGAAGGATGTGGGCAATCTTTGTTTCCCCTGATTGGTACAAGAGGAGAACAGAGGGCAGTCCTTCCATCTCTCACATCCTGGACTCAGCTCACAATAAGGAGCGAAGTTCATTTTCCCAAAAGTTGTACTGACCCATGGTAAAAGAACAGGGATCATCTGCTCTAGTAAAAGGGGTGCATAACCAATCCACTGGGCTCATCTACAAGCTGAAGATGTGACTTTTAAAATAATAGTAAATTAAAACATGGGCAAGCAACACCCAGCAATATATTGCTCTCAAATGGACTCAAATTGCAATCTGTCTGAGATAAAGTCTCTCACATTAATGGTTAAGCCTTTTCAACTGACAATCAACTGAGATGAACTAGTTGAGAAGCAGGGTTTTGTTGTTGCTGCTGCCTTTGAGCCACACAGTATCTTGTGAACTACAAGAGTAAGAGTGATATCTTAGTCTTAAATGAAAGAATACATATTCTGTCTGCGTCCCTCAGAATCGCTGGTTGCACTCTCTTCCTTACTTGTCACAGAAGGCACCCCCATGTGGGATATTTAAAATATTGTGTCACTTGGCCTTTTGATCGTTGCATGATTTGGGACTGGATTCACTCTTTCTTCTGTTTTTATTGAAATAAAAAACACATTTGTATATATAGTCATGTGTCACGTAAAGTCCATTTGTAAGTAGGGAAAGTTCACATTAAAATAATGATAACAAGTATAGTACATACATAATCCAGTAACACAGGTGTTTAGAAGGGCACGTAGGGACAAAGTTATGAAAAAGTCTTAGTCGTAACCAGACATCTTGAGGGAATGACTTACTGGATATGGAGTCTCAGAACCTTAGTCTCAGGGGACACTAAGTTCAATTGGCAAAACATAGTCCACAAAGACAATTTGCTGTTACATTGTGGGGATTGCAGCCAATGCCACAAAACAAAATATGCATGAATTGTTGAATGGAAAATTAATTACTCTATAAATTTTCACCTAAATCACAATAAAAAGATAAAATAATTTAATAATCAAAATTAAAATATTCTCAGTGCTGAATCAAAATAGAAAAACTCATCTTTTTTTCCATTTTATTTTTTTCTAGAGCACACGGGCACATGGTTTTCTTAGTTAGAGTTTTTAAACTGATTTTCTTTCCCAGGCTTCTTTTCATGGTCTAGACTTTTGTAATTACTGTAAAATGTGGGCTCTTGGGTTTTCAGGAGCTAACTGAAGAGAAAAAGTAAAGAACATATTTAGTACAAGGGCAACACAGGTGGCTGACTTCCCACTCACCTGGGCCATTTGAGCTGCAGTGTTGCCTTTCGCGCCCAAGTACACCATGGCCAAGGAATTTGCCAGGCCCCAGGGGGAAAAGAAAATGTTTTTACCCTCTGCAGTTTCAGCTATCTTCTTGTTAAACTCCAGGGCAAATTGGTTGATTGATGTTGCTAGAGAGTCCATTGGGAAAACCTAAGAAAAATAAAGCAGAAGTCTTAATATTCCTTTCCATTTATTTTACTTTTGTAAAAGGATTTGTTAGTTTACAGGAGTTTAAATATATCTGTGAAGATGGCAAAATTCTCCCCATGGGAACTATTTTATGCTCTCAAAATACTTTTTAGTGTTCTGTCAAAATAAAAAACCAATTGCTGTTGAGTTGACTTCAATTTATGATGGCACCATGGGTGTCAGGGCAGAACTGTGCTCCACAAAGTTTCAGTGGCTGATTTTCTGGAAGGACATCACCAGGCCTGTCATCTGAGGTGCCTCTGAGTGGACCTGTACCGACAGCCCTTCATAGAGCACTGTACCACTTAACCATTTGTACAATGCAAGGACTCCTTACTCTCTAGAGAGCCTTTGAAATGGATTTTTTCAGCAAGAAGACAGGCTTTCTCACTTTTTGTTATGCAGCTTCTAAATTTTACTTCTAATTTTGCAGATATTTTAATTAAAACTCTTTCAAAACTGGGAGCTGTGGTGGTGTAGCACCTAAGACATTTGACTGCTAACCAGAAGGCTGGTGGTTCAAACCCCCAACTACTCCTTGGAAGGAAGATTGGGCAATCTACTTCTGTAGTGATACTGCCTCAGAAAGCCAAGGAGGGGTCACTATGAGTCAGATCCAACTCGATGGCAGTGGGTTTGGTTTTGGTTTTTTCTTTCAAAACTGGGTCTCTATCAAGACACAGCTACTATAATCTATTGACATTTATAACAAAACAATTTCTCAGGTTGGTTAAATGATTACAAATAAATTAAATTCTTAAGTTTACACACTGCCATTAGTGTCAATGTCATGTAGAGGTTGGCCTCACGCAAACATCTCTCACTTTCTGAGAAACTAGAACAAAAGCTTTAGGAAGGTTAGAGTTCCTGTAGCCAAACGGTTGAAGCAAGAGGGAGGCCTATGTAGACAGAGGTTTGGTTTCATCATGAATTGCTGTTAACGTGGAGTTGCTGAAATCCCTCCTAACCATCAGTTACACTTAACCAAACAGCTTCCCAGCCTCTTACTCATGCCCTGTGTGTGGACCCCGCCCCTTCCAGGAGCTGATGATAATCCCAGGCTAACATTATTTGATTAAAAAAACAACCAAACAGCAAAAACCCCCTAGTTTTGTAATAATTATCTCCCCTCATAAAACATTCAAAACTTTCCAGTGATTATTTTTTCTCAACCAAGTCAATGCCATCTTAGAAACAGCTTCCTTTTTTTTCCTCTAATGCTACATTCACTCAAATGTCATTTTTGTTTTACTACTTATATACCAAGTTTTATCTTTTTAAAATTCATGAATTACAGTCACATGGACAATGCTTGACTCCATAGCCAAACTACATTCACCATGAAAAAAGGAGAAAGTAATATCTTAAAACTTGGAATTTTTATGTTTCTATCTATGGTTTACGGTTACCCTACAGGTTAAGTACTTGTTATAAATTCCTGAGAACACTAATTCTCTCTAATTAAAGAGCTAATTTCTTGTGCAAGGTTAGTATCCAATTATCATCAGCTTCATTATTTCCTGCATTCATATCGTATTAGTATACATTTAGATGTAACCCAGAACATACAAGAATAATTCCTATTGGTTTTTTTTTTTTTTTTTCATTTAAAATGTTTTTAAAAGCCTGAAACTAGCCATTAGTAATATTTTACTCAAAGTTAAAGGTACAGAATTTTGGAATGAGATTTCACGGAATATAATTAATCCCAACATGGTTAACAATTCCTTTTACAGAGAAGACTATGATTGTCTAGATCAGAAGCCCAATGTGGCATTTTCAGATTAACTGCTTTGTGCAGTTTTCTGGGTCTATCAAAGATTTAAATATATATACAGGAGCTCTGGTAGCGTAGTCCCTAAGGTGCTTGACTGCTAACCAGAAGGCTGGCGGTTCAA